TTTCTGCACCGGCCGCGGAACACAATGCAATAAAATCATATTTTTATATTGCCTTTTTCGCACGGCCCATATACATTGAGTCAATCCAAAATCAGGGTCAAACTCTCGTCCAGGAAGCGACATGCGGATATTTATGTCCTTTAATGAGCCTGTTAATTATGAAATTAGCGCTAAATTAATTGATACGCATCGTGGTAAAAAAAAATTAAGCCGATAAAAATGGCGCCTGTCAAGGATAAGCCTTTCTAAAACCACTGAGACAAGAAGGAACCGGCAGGGCTTATTTTAGGCGTTTGCTTAAATAATTAAGATGAGATCCGTTTTGTGCAAAAAGAGAGAAATTGTTATTGCACAAGATTAATTACTTTCCCTAGATTTTCTTGGATTTCTAAAATTTGTCAACCCTGTGAGAAATATTCCCAAGGTCTGACGTACTTTTGGAGAAATTTGAATTTATATTCTTATTTCGCAAAAAAATTCCCACGCACTCTCAGTCAGAGGAAGAGTGAATCTATTCTGGCCTTTCTGTGCGTAGATAAGTGAAATAAAATTTCTTTTTAATCGCAAAGTCCTTGTATCACATTTTCAAAGTCATTGCTGGATTGGCAGTCAGCTGAAAATCGAGGCCAGGGCTGCACCTTTTATAGCCGCTCGGCAAAGTTCAACGCCGCCTCGTCAGCAGGGCTGTTGCTGTGTGTGTGTTGCCGAAACTTGAACTTGAAACATTATTTTGGTTTTTTTTTCTCCTTCAACCTACCCGCCGCGCTCAGCGGCAATTGCTTGTATTATCTGCCGGCGTACATTTTATGGCCGGCTAAATAAGTGCGTGCTCTTGCAAATAATAAATTGGCCAGTTAATTACAATATTTCTGGCCGCCTGACAGCGGTAAGTAGTTGGCCGCGGCGGCAGTGAAAGTATTAAAAGGCAAACCCGTTGCCGGGCCAGTTCCGTGTGTGTGCTCCGATCAAGGAAATAATTCGATTTTTAAAGGGACCAAAACATTTGGCAATATCAAACTATTTAGATTTGACCAGCATTATAATTTCAATATTTAATTTTCTTTTAAATTTTACATCAGAAGTGACAGTTGAATTTTTAATACAGTCGATTCAAGGAAAAATAACTTTAATTTTTTTCTTTTTAGTTTTGTATCAGAATTTCCGGCAAAAATAAAAATTTAAACCGCAAAGAGAAATGAAATTCTTCATAGAACATTTCTGAATTAGCTGTCCGACTAAACCACATATATTTTATCAAGGTTAATTAACTAATCAGTTTTCTAATTTCAAAAATAAATTTGGAGAGTCGAAGATCGAATCTCATTGGCGAAGTGACTGATTCATTTTTAATTTAGCTCTCATTTCAGTGAGAATTACGAGCACCTAATTATAATCGGGGGCTCGCGGCGTGTTTCAAGCGCACATAAATTCTGCCTCGGACACGTCCTTTAATAAGCCAAGCGGCAGCCTAATGAAATTCAATGAAAAAACAAACGTCGCTTCTCTTCTGATGTGGCGCTCGAACTCGGGAGAATAAATATGTTAATTGTGCCGGGGCCGAAAAGAGAGACTAACGGCGGCCCCTTTGGAACGAAAATAAAATGTATAAAAAACATTTTCGATTTGTTATTCAAATTTCATTTCTTTCGAGGAGATATAGACAAACAAAACGCCTGCGAGCAGAACGGTCCGATATCAAAAGGAGAGTATTCAAAGAAGAAGTGCCGTTCGGAGAGACTGGTCCGGACTTTGAAAAGGGATCCCTGTGATGATAATGATGTTATTAAATTGCGTTCGGCTCCTGCTGAAAAAAAGACTTTCTCCGCGCAATCAATGATAGCTGGTGCGTGCATCTGAATTAATTGATCGCTCACAAAAAGAGCAGGGCGATGCGAGTCGCATTCAAATCAACTTCCTCATATCAAAAGGAAGAATAATTTTTATTCGGGTGCAATGACCACACAACGGACTTCCTCAATTTCTCATCGCCGGTGTTGCAATGCCTCTTGCCTATTTCAATTTGTGCGGCATGAGTGAAGAGTTGTGATTTTCTCACATTTATCGGCGATTCGTCCGTCCATGATGTGTCTCATTAGAAAGAGAAAAATGAAAGTTATGTTGATGCCTACCGGCGTTTTGCGGCTTTTGTCTATCAGCAGATGAGGCCTATTGTTCTCCGCTGCGCGTGGTTTTTTTCTAGCTCAGCGATTTCTAATCCCTAATCCGCCGAAAGAAGGACAAAAGATGCAGATCAGGTTAGATTGATTGCTGGACGATGTGAATTTCACAAATAGGTCGCTTTTCATTTTAGTTTCAAATCGTGTTTATTAAAATGTATCACCTGGCATTCTCTGCTCAAATTTTAACCAGCCAAATATGCCAAATTTATTTAGGCTTCAATCAAAACTGATGACTTTTATTCCAAAGTATATTAGAGAGAAAGTGCTTTAAGTTAATTGTGGTCGACGATTTATTTCGCCTAATCAACCCATTGGCTGGAAAAAATGATTTCAGTTTTGATATTAAAATTGTTGGTTTGTATTCTCTTAATATTAATAAATATCAATAATTCACAAAATTAGGCAATTTTAACTAAATCACCACTTGATGAACATGTTTCCCTTCAAATAACCTAAATGAGACTAATTTTATCTTTATATAAAATCATATTTCATAAAATGCCACTTCGTCCTAAATTCTTGTAACATTCACATCTTTTAATAAAAATTTAATATTTAAAAATAAAAACTAATTCATTTAACCTAAAAATATATCAATGACTATTTAAATATTTGTTGCAGACACCAAAATTATTAAAAGTGAAAATAATCCACTACATGTTTTTTAAGTGGATGAAAGTTTATGGAATTAAATACTCTTTCTTGAGTAATAAATAAACTGCCGGTTGTCCTTTTAAATTTCCTTATCATCGCGGAGCTCTTTAGGCAACTCTAAATGCAAATTCATCTCCCTTCTCATTTGGTATCATATGTATGTTTTAGTTTCTCCCTTTCCGATCAAATTTGGCACTCATCAGCTTGTGAGAGAGAAATGCCTTGTATATTTTTGTCAAGTACTTTGGTAATAACAAGTTGTATATGCAAATATTTGCTCTATGAGCGGGGAAAAGCCGATATAATAATAATAATAATGGCCGAGCGGTGACTCTCATAATTTGATCACGGTAATTGCGTCAATTACTTAATCCTGAAAGCCTCTCTGGATTTAGCAATACGCGGACGTTTTATTTTCCCTCCCATAAAAATATAAATAAACGCAAATCGCTAATTACACGCGGGCCATTAAGAAGCACAGTCCGCGAAAACATAATTCAGCGGCAAGTTCGTTTTTTTTTTTCAACAAGTTGTTATTTCACAATCGAAACGAAATCAAAAGTTCTTTTCCTCTGAAATGAGTGATTTTTTATAACTCAAGATCAGGTTTGTGTTTTGCGCCTCAAAATAATATTATACAGGGCGGCACACGGCCGATCGTAAATTAGCTTTCCACTCGCTCGGATTATATACTGGCGTTGACCCAATCTGGGTCACACTTGACCCCTGGGCTGTGTTTTGTCACCTTTTCATAATCCTTCAAGTAGTGCGTGGTCTAAATCACTCTCACTTTCTTTTGCAAAACAGGTGCTCCGTCAGCACTACTCGGATAAATTTCGGAGAGCGACGGGGCCCTCTTGGTGGTCCGTCGGAATTATTTCAGGAATTCCTCTTCGTTTGCGCATGGAAACTTATGGTCATTTATTTTATATTTTTTTCTCATAATCCGGGAGGTTCTTTCATTAGCGAGCGCTTCGTTTGATTTTATTGCTTCATAAAAATCAAATTCCGCAAGAGCGAGCAGCCCCGGCAGAGAGGGAAATACATTTAATTATTTTCTGCCGCCAGTCCGGAGAAGAGAGGCTGCGAATTCGAGCGATTAATCAAAATTAATGGTGAAATTAAGAATTCGTCCCGCCTCGAGTTGCTGGCCCAATTAATTGCCTCTGTCAATAAACAACGCCGGCTCGAGCACGCACTTAATCCTCTTCACATGAGCAGTTTTATTTTATATATTTCAAAGAAAGCTGCGGAACAATTTTTGTGGTTATGATTTCACTCAGGAGAGATTCGTGGTGAATGCAAAATTAGTTCAAATAGATCTTTATATTTTTCTCTTTCTGTTTCGGAGCAGTTGATATCAACTTTAATATGATTAATTAGCTTGAGAAGCAAATCAACACGTTGGTGACATTAAGTGCCAGAGAGCGATTATATCATAATTGAATGATTAATTGCTGCTTATTATTTTCATTCAATTAATTTTAAATGTGTTCAGAGGAAAAGTTGACATAAATCCACCGTAGATTAAATTAATTTCAAAGTGTTTATTGTATGTTGACTGCAGAAATAATATTAAAAGTCACCTCGGTCGACAGCGCTGCAATTTTTCATATAATTAGCTCACATTTTTTGCGTCTTCGCGTTTCTGGTTCACTGAGCGCTGTAATAAAATAATTATTGTTGTTGCTCCTGATTTAGCAATTTTACAGAAAATTAAAAACAATTAAAACATTTTGCTGAGTAACAAAAAGTGAAAAGTGTTAAAATGGAATATATTTGTATTTAATTATCCATTTGAGCATTTAAAAGTTTCTCTTTATGGACAACAGGTGTTTTTAAATTTTTTCTTTCTTTCAAGAAAGTGTCCAGCTTTCTGGCTCTTTTGAAAAGCAGTTCCCTCCAAATGTCACACTGCTCGTCTACTTCATTAATTAATTTTAATGTCTTTTTCTCTAAATTCTCTTGTCTTTTATCGTGACTTCCTCGAAATTTTAATTTTTTTTGTCAGTCGTGGGAAAATAATTTTCACTCAGAGAGAAGATAAAAGTGCTAATTATGTCCGGTGCTGCCAATTTCCTTTCCTTGCAGCAAGTGGAAAGCTGACAAGTAGTCTCACGTGAACACCTCCACAGAGATAAGGCCATAACGCTACGAGTGTGTGTCATCGCCACGCATTCGTTGCCTAGTCGTTTTACCCGAAAGCTCCACAGCGAGCGCAATTGAAGCAAAAATAACAGACAAAGTGTTTCCAATCGTTTTATGGCCCATTCACCGACCGGCTTTTTCCCATTTAATGCACTGGGAATGTTTTTCAGTCGCCGCAAGACTCCAGCAATTGTGGTGCACGCCAGGTAGGCTGAATTAACTCTGTAAATTTTGGGAAAGAAAAAACAGACTAAATAAATATAATTCCTCTCACAATCTGATGAGGAAGACAAGATAAGAGGCTGAAATTTGGGAATTGAAACAAAATCTTATGAATTTCAAATGTGGTCAAATCTCCATTTTCATATGAAAAGCAAGACCAAATATTTATATCTCATAACCCTTTTTCATATTTCGTCAGTTGGAATAAATTTATTATTCAGCTCTCATTTGATGCAAATCCAAAAAAGCTCCTCTTGAAAATAGATCCCAGCACCATTTAAATTTCAAATTTCGTAAGCTCCTGTGTGTTAACGAACTTTGAGGGAATAATTTTTTCTGTCAGACAAAGAACTCCCATGATATGGAATTGAATTCGGAGCCGTCCCTTTCGGAAGCCCCTCGGGTTTCTTCATGAAGTCTGAAAGTTTGCGTGCCTGCGTCAAAAGTCGTGCGGTATCGTCCGAACACGAGGGACGAATTATCACGTCTCGCCAGAGAGCAATAGTATATGGAAATTTTTATACATCTCTTTTGGCATTATTTTTCGTTCCAAGCGCAAAGAATCGAAAAGAGCCGTTTAATTTGCGGTTACAGATCGGCGGCGCTTCTTCTTCTTCTCTTTTTATGTAATATTAATAGACTTCGCCAATCAAGCTAGGTGGCTTTTGACTAGCATTAACCTGTCATGACACAATTCCGCCTCTAATTTATACTCGAGGGAATTTCGTTCGCGGACCTTCTCTTCTAATTGCCTTTTAGGACGCGGCAAACAGTTAGACGTCGGCTACTTGTCTCTCTGTTTGTGTGTGATGGACCGAATTAAAGCCGAAAGCAAGGAGCGTAATTAATTGCGACACGATTTGCGAAGGAATTCAGATTTTATGTTTCGCGACTTGGGACGGAATTGCTGCTGTTTATCTTCACTTTTCAGCAGTGGCAACGTGACGCTTAGCCAGCAGTTTTGCAATCGTTTATCTTATCAAGCTTCCAAGTTAAACAAAATTGAAGTTGGATCATCTATGTACTTTAGTGTAGGATTTCAGTAAAACAAAACAATATAAAAATTAAAATTTATTAAATTCTTTTAAAATTGTATAAAAACAGCATTAATTTATTTTTTTTCATTAATTTTTTTCCAATTATATTATATTATTTTTTTTTAATTTGTCAAAATACATTGTATACATTACATTTTGTAGAACAATTTTAAATTCTTTTATTTTAAATTATATATTTATATTTTATATTACATGGTTGTAGTAATATCATTTATCTTAAAGTAATTCCATTTACATGGGCTGATGTGGGCTTTATTTTCACTTCCTGGTGTATTTATTTCAAATGGGCTGATGAATTATTTTCATAGGAACAGAATTATTACAATTTTCTATTCAACAATCAACCGACTATTCTTCAGATTTTTAAAATATATTACAACATATTGATTTCAAATGTTTAAAAGTTAAATTTTGCAGCTTTGATGAAATCACTCATTGGGAAATTAGATTGGAATCTGACAATAATTGGTCTCGCAAAGGTGAGAGTTCTGCTCGCAAATGTCAGCGAAAGGAAAAGCTTGATTATTTCTTGGCAAAAAACTGAGAATCGTTTGTACATTGTGAAAGCTACACACGTGTCCATCAGAAAACACATGTTCGCTGACGAGCCGAGCCGCCTTTTCTATCAAATTCTCACATTGGAAAAAAAAATCATTGGCTGGTCATTAAAACTAGGGCGCGTAGCAGAGAAGGACAAATCACAGCTGCGGCAGTGAATTAGAGCGTTCAAATCAAAACCGAGTGATGCGGGGAAGAAGAAGAAATAAATATTGTCCTCTCGCGCGACAACTCGGCGCATAATTCAATTAATCTCGGCGCGATTCAATCGCAGCACTCGCGGCGCCGGTATGTTATTTTTAATTATGATTTTAATTTATCGGCCGACACCTTATTTTTCTCGCGGAAAAAACGCGGGCAGTAAAAATAAAAAGGAGGGTAATAAAAACCGCCGGTATTAATAATGCCTTTCTCGCTCTGGAAATAAATGTTATGAATGTGTTTCGGAGAGGACAGTCTAGCCGAGAGAGAGATGAGGAGATATACCCGCAGGAGGGAAGAACAGCAGCTTTATTGCTTGCAAATTAGAATGGGCTACCATTCGCGAGATAATATAGTGTCACACTCTCTGGCCTCCGCTTTTAATTTATTCAACACTTCCAACTGGTTTTCCAAAGGGCAGAGATGTATTTATATTTTTCATCTCCAGCAGCATCTCAGATCCGCTTTCCTAATCTTAATTTCTTTCTGTCCACCAGAAATTGCTCAAATAAATTTCGACTAAAAATGAGCGAATTTATTGCATTGACGTCACAAAACAGTCCCACTAGCGTCCAGCTGGGTCAACTGTTTTCTGGCGCTGCTTTTTCTCGGAAAAACTCAATCTGAGATGCACTATTGCAAAAGAACTGCCTTCAATGGAAACCGTAAATCTTCTTTTGGTGCATTTTTCAACCTGGATCGAGTGAGAGAAGAAACCCGAGGCGATCGGTAAAAAAAATGAGAGATGCATTCTGTCCGCTAACAGGGCATGTCGTTTTCTAATTATTCGGGTGTCCTGCCTGCTCTCTCAACACATGCATGCGCAAGAAAAGTTATCCGCTATATATTCAGCTGCCGCGAGAGAAAGAGGCTGCGCTTTTAATTCTTCGGTGATGAACTCACGAAATCGGAAATCTCTCATTCTGTGGCACAGTGGGTCGGTTCAAATGAGAGGCGAGCAGCAAAACAAAGTCATTTCCATATAGATTGAAATAACAAAACGGCACAGTTCTCATTTCATAACTAGAATTGGGTGTCACTTTAAAATAGGAAAGATTGTTTGGAATGAGCATGTTCGCATTTCATTTTTGGTATTATATTTGATCTCTTCATTATACATTACATAACTAACCACTGATCAGCCAACCTCGGAGCAGGAGCAATTTCTCAATTTTATATTTTAATAATTTTACTGCATGTAGACATCTTAAATATTAAAAAATTGCAAGAAATAAATTAATTAATAATTTAAGAAGTCTGAATTAAAATTAATAGTTCATAAAATGGCAAGAAAATAAAATTTAAACATTTAATACAGTTATTTAGCAAGTTTTAATAATGCTAAAAAATAATACAAAAGTATTAAACAATAGTAAAACAAAGTTAATTGTTATTTTTGGTGTAATTATGTAATGTGATTATTTACACTTCTTACTAAATAATGAATCGCTGCTAATGCGCACAAATTTCACATCTCCAATAATTAATAATCAACAGATGATAAGAATTTTGCACGCATGATGTTTTTAACAGGTTTTTAAGTTGGGCAAATTTGTGCGCAGTGAAATTTTAAAAATGAATGTTGAATGACAGCAAAATACGATATAATAAAAAAGAAACAATAATTGATTCTGCGTCATGCAGGCATGTTTCTCCATCTGTACAAATCAATTACACTCAATTAAATAATTAATAAACGGCTGTCAAAACTACATGCGCGCGGTCGTGCATGGTGTCATATAAGTCGGTTGGTGGCACAAAAAGAAAATAAAATAATCCTCTGTACAAACAACTGGCCTTGTCGGTGACCCAGTATCCGCCGAGACGATTAAACGCGGATAGAATAAAATTATTTCTTCTCTAGCCAGCAGAAAAGTAAATACAGAGCGAAAGACAGACGCATTAAAAATAAAACGCAAATTAGGAATCTTCTTTTTGCATTAATTTTCCCCTTTTGGAAGAAGAAATGTCGGCGGTCGTCAACCGGCGCGCGAACAAACAACGGATCACCTTAAAAAGCTCCTATTTCCTGCTGTTTATATATTCGCGACGTGACGGCTTACTTTTTTTCGCCGCTTCCTCACTTTTATATTTGTACGCACTTTTTTAGGCTTTCTAATATCGTCTGGCACTAATTTCGAATAAATAAGCGCACGTTTATTTGGGCCGAGGCTTGTTTAATATAAAAACAAGTGAATTTCGTTTTCTCTCCCTTCCTGCTACTTTTTTGTTTTTTTTTTAATTTTGCCTGAGTGAGAATTGCTTTTTTCTTGTTCCTCTTTCTGCGCCACGGAGCGAGGCGAACGCGCCTCTTTCTCTGCATTCGCTTTTGTCACTCGAGACGTGCACGAAAAAAAAATTGCGTGTATGGATGAATAAAAAAGCGAATACAACAAATGCGCGCACCTCAACCGTCCGAATATCATAGCTGTGTACATAAAGCGCACGTGCTAATGTGACTGGAAGGTCAAAGAGCTCGCTCGGCTGACTGGATCCGCCGCGCACTGCTGGTGGGACGACATACACGGATAGGACAATAACCACTCGCTAAATGGGGGTCATACGTACCCGCCCACGCACACCAAATTATTCGGCCTGCGTAATGCAAAAGTAAAGTTCAGCATAAAAAATCTGAACTTTCTTCGAAAAATTTAATGCAGCATGATTTAGATCATGCCATGTCCAAAAAAATGATACTGCTCCATATTATCTTTTATTTTTAATTTTCTTTCCAACTATTATTATTTTTTTTATGGAAAAAATTATAACGACATTGGAGGTAAGAATATCTTTTTTGTTGGATCTAAATTTTTATTCAGACAATGGATCTTTGCTGAAAAAATCTTTTTGATTGAACCTTTAAAGAGAACAAAAACCTTTGCATAAAAACATGCCTTTTTTATCATTTTGAGAATATTTTACAATTTAATAATTTGTAAGCTTACGGACATTTAATTCTCAATAACATGAATTAATTTCAGTACAAGCTTGAAGCCAAAATCAATATATTTTCAAATAAGTTTTAAATTTTTGTAATCAGTGCAGTCAAAAAATTTAACGAGCAAAGTAATCAAAGTATGCAAAATGAAAAATAATATGATCATGAATTTTATTTTATTAGAATTTTCGTGACTTTATAATTAACAGGAGACGTTTAAAAAAATTTA